ACCTGGAGGCATAATTAGGCATTTAACCTTTTAAAGGAAATATGCTAATGTACTGGCTTGTGCAGAGGGTCTGGGACATTCTGGTCAAATGTTATAATTTTGGATGAAGTCTTACCGTGGGGTGGTTGACCAGGTATCGACAGAGCTCTCCTATGTACTGCACCACAGTCACATTGTGTTTCACACAGTCCTTCCAAAACTGACTGGCAGAAAATTTCTTTTTTAACACACATGTTGCACCTGTGATCCAAAGGGGAAAACAGACAGAAGATGGCAGGGCAAAAAGTAAGTAGTGTAAGACAACATAATGCTTAAAAACTCAGATTTGTACGTACTACATGTCTAACAATGTTAGTACAAATGTTAGTACTGGAGCTGTAGTGAGAAATTTCCTCCACTTTTTTTCAGCCTTGGTTTGTGAGGAAGTGAAAATTCCTTAAAGGTCTATAAAAAGGATTTCCGTCTTCATGATGGTTTTCTCCAGCCTCTGACTTTATAATGTACTGAATATAAATGGCAAATCTTCCAGGAATTTTTTGTCATGCTGCCACACTCTAAACTGTTGGCTCTGTGGGAAATGACAGCTAGGTGTAATTCCAACCAACTAAAATATTTTTAAAGGAAGCAACCCTTGAAGCTGCACAGATAGAGTTGTTCTCATAGTAAGGCCTAATACTACAAATGGCTCATCAGGGAAAGGGGCATGAAATCCAATTAAGAAACTAAAGATATTTTACAGATATACTCGTATAGGAAATTATATATTGGGAAATTATTTGGAAACTTCCTTAGAGTCAAGAACAAACACTGTTATTCATTTACAAAGCTCCACTTATTAAATCGTCCAAATTCCCTTACATCTCAACTCTCAAAATAATCACTGCCCTATTAAATATTAATTTCACATCCATTTTCAATGAAATTGTGCAATGGTCCCTCTGCTTTGCTTGCTGCTCTGTTTTCTGTCTTTAGGCAGAGGTAGAAAGTGACACAGTGCGTCTGGTGGACACTGGGGGTAAAGTAAGGGCCCTTAAAGCACGTACTCCAAAGGCTGAGGTTAAACTGTTTGAAATACATCTGTTCTTACCAAGGTGTATGCATCCTCCGACCCCTAACAAAGAAGCAGACATGTGGTAAAGAGGAAGGGTGATGTAGATGATGTCATCAGCTGTGGCTCCACACATTTCAAAGAAGGCCATGCTCACAATGGCTTTCAGATGACCTACACGGGCTGCCTTGGACAGACCTGCAAGAGAATGACACTTCCACTGCAGAAATGTTCTATGCAGTATATTTCCAAGCAAGTTACTGGGTGTCTTGTCTATGAAATTTTAATCTCTCAACTGGTTTTGTGCTTCCATTACTACTCCAAAACTTGGTGGAGTACTAGTTTTAATGAGTGTATATGGAGTATCAAAACTATCGAGGACTTAAACAGCCAAAATCAAAAAATAAATAATATAAAAAATAAATAACGCATGAATTAATTTATAAATGTGACAAATTGATACTTCTGTTTTAATTTGTTTCTGTATTAATTCTCCCTTTTTACTCTCCCATTTAATTTTCCATTTTATTTATTAACTTCTTCTTGTATGTACTTATTTCTATATTCTGATCTCAAATGAGGGGGTCTGTCATTCAAGTGGTCAACATCTCTCCTATTGGTTGATCAACATCAGAGATCGAATGCACATGCTTTGCTGCTCCCACACACGGTGGCCAGGTTCATAATAGCCACATTTAGTCAGGAGATTGTTACTAAATTGAGCTAATCTTAGTTAATCTGAGTTTATTTTATTTGCTTTTTCTGTTCAAGTCCTTCATACTTGTATGGCTGATGGCAATATATACATAACAAATTAGTTGAGTTTCATCTTAACAAGGATCACATAACTGTGATAATTGTATTTACTGGACTATATACTGGGCTACATTTTGGACTATATATTATATATTTATAATTTCTCTTCGGGGATAAATAAAGTATTTCTATCTATCTATCTATCATATATGAATTGAGGACAATACTGTCTCTCTACCAGAGCCATTCAGATGGGAATGTTGTGCAGTGTAAGGTGGCTGTCCACCTGTAGACTGTATAATAACTGAAGAACACAGTGCTCATGCAGTACCTGTAGTGCCTGAAGTAAAAATGAAGAGAAAGTTTGACATGATGTCAACGTTAGGAAGGTCACTTAAGGTTTCTCCAGACATGTGTTCCACCTTATCCAGTAAACTTCTAAATTCCTCAGAAGGTGACATGTGATCCACCACCCACATGGCTATGTTGTCCTTCAGATCTGGTGGCATCTCCTCCACCAAATGCACCAAATCTGAAAAAACACACGCAGTGGGTTATCTTGCTGATGCTTTATCAGCCAGAACCAAAGCCAGTAAACAAACATGTACAAAGCAGCCCAGCTTCACACCAAAGTGTGTAATAGACCTGCCAATCCACTAGAGGATGCAGTGTCACGTTTTGCCTCGCCTAAACGTATAAAGTGCAGTACCAGCAGAAGTATAAAGAGCGACAGAGTCTGCGCTTGGAGGACAGGACTTTTACCCAAGAGAGCTTTTTTTTGAAAGTGTAACCGGATGTAACATATTTTACAACATGACACTGCCACGCCTAGGCGAGGCAAAATGTGACACTTTCAAAGTGGACCGGTGTATTAAACATTTTGGCATAATACCTGGTAGCACAAAAGGCTGTTCATTCTACACTAAGGCTGTACTTTTGGTGTAGACAAATAGTACTCTGATACCTCGTTCAGATAGGCCGCTTGAGCAGCGCGTGACAGCTGCGTCTCGCTGTGATCATTTAAAGAAAATGACAATGAAAAAATGTAGGTACAAATTCAATACAATCATATCCCTTAGATTCAGAGCTGCATACCATTCAAACACATGGATGTGCTTCTTGGTGGGAGAAGTCACGGCATGGTACTTTGCTCTCTACTTGTCAACTATCTACACGACTGATAGCATCCACATGCTTGTAAACTTCAATCAGACTTGACAAAATGTTGACTTTTACTGTACAATAAAGGACAGATAATGTTACAACAGGTGCAATCTCCTGATAATCCACTGATAATATTGTGTATAATATATTACACAAATAATATTTATATAAAATGAGTTTAGTCCAACAACTCAAGGAATTATAGAAGTCAAGTTTAAGACCCTCATTTTAATTTCTTAAGATATTTTATCTACAGTGATGCAACAAATACAAAAGTCTGAAATGTGGAAATACTATCAAGTACTTTTGATACCTTGGGTGCATTTTACTGATAATACTTCTGTGCTTTCACTAAAGTAAAATTTTGAATGTAGGATGTTTTACACTGTGAAACTACTTCCCCCAAAGCCATATACACATTTCACTATGTATTATTATATCCTATATTGCTCCATGTCATTTTCAGGCACTTTTGAGCCAAATGAAATACATTTTTTAAAATAGAATTATATTTGTATTTTAAGTGTATATGAATGGGGTAGTTTATATTGATATGAAACAACAACAACAAAAAAAATATTTTTTGCAGGGTGGACAATATTATATTTTATATATTATGTTGCGGGTTGCAGTAGTTTATGAGAAATATTAGCAAAATGTCAAAAAGTTAATTTTATCAAAATTACTTACTGCTGCTTTAAGTTTTCTTTTGGATGTATTCATCAAAAGTGTACTAAAATAAATTGTACATTTGCCCTTTCCATAAGAAAAAGTAACTGTACATACAGTGTGCAGCTCTGGGAACTGTAATTTTGGGGAGGGTGGAAAGGCCCCAAAGAGTATTTTTGCAGCCCTACAAGGGCAATGTACAGGTACAGCTCAAAAAACTAGAAGATCATGAAAAAGTTAAATATTTTTTATCAATCATTTCAGAAAGTGAAACTCATTATATAGATTCATTATACAGAGTGAAATAGTTCAAGGCCTTATTTCTTGTAATTTTGATGATTATGGGCTTACAGATAATGAAAACCCAAAACTCAGTGTCTCAGAAAAATTAAATATGTGAAAAAACAGTCAACATTGGAAAATCGTTGTCCACACCCTAACACTAATTAACTCAAAACACCTGCAAAGGTTTTCCTGAGCTTTAAATGGTCTCTTAGTCTGGTCCAGAAAAGGTAACACAAGATGGGGAAGACTGGCTGACTTGACAGATGTCAAAACACAGTCCATTGACACCCCCACAGAGGGAAAGCCACAAAAGGTCATTGCTAAAGAACCTGGTTTTACAAGAGCTGTATCCAAGCATATCATAAAAAGTTAATAAAAAAGTATAGTAGGATAAAGGAGCACCAACACAGGATAACCGCAGCCCTTGGAGAGGGCTGGAGTCCAGCGCATTCAAGAGCCAACTATGCACAGACGAATCCCTAGACCTGGGCTACAAATGTCGCCATTCCTCGAGTCAACCACTCCTGAACCGGAGAACAACGGTTCAGAAGCACTCTTACCAGGGCTGGAGGAGCAAAAAGAACTGGGACTGTTCCCAGTGGCCAATTTCCTCTTTTTTAGATGAAAGTACATTTGCATGTCATTTTGGAAATCAATTCATATGATATGGAAGAAAGTGGGAAAGGCACAGAATCCAAGTGCTTGGAATCCAGTGAATTTCCACAGTTCAAGTGATGATTGGGGAGCCAGTCATCTGCTGATTGTCCACTGTGTTTACAAGTCCACACCCCCCCCGTCCAAGCGCCATCTACAACGGCATTTAAGCACTGTTCATGCTTCTCCTCGATAAGCTTTAATGGACGATGCTGATTTTCATCTCCAGCAGACCTTGGCACTTCCCACATGCCAAAGTACCAATACTGGTAAACCATGGCGTTACAGTGCTTGATTGGCCAGCCAAACTCACCTGAACCTGAACCCCAAGAGAATCTTATGGGGCTATGTAAAGAGGAAGGTGAGAGGACACCAGACCCAACAATCAGATGACCCTGAAGGCCACTATCAAAGCAACCTGGACTTCCATAACACCTCGGCAGTGCCACAGGCTGATTGCCTCCATGCCACGCTGCATTGATGGAATAATTTATGCAAAAGGAGCCCCGACCAAGTATTGAGTTTATAGAAGTGAACTTTTCAGAAGCCTGACATTTGTGTTTAAAATATCCTTTTTTTTTATTGATCTTGTAATATTCTAATTTTGAGTTTTGGGTTTTCATTATCTGTAAGCCATAATCATCAAAATTACAAGAAATACAGGCTTGAAATATTTCACTATGTGTAATGAATCTATATAATGAGTTTCACTTTCTGAAATGATTGACAAAAATATTGAACTTTTTCACAATATTCAAATTTTTTGAGCTGTACCTGTATATTATAGCCTACTGTGGGTGCTATAATAACAACATACTTGCTAATGTGAATTATAATGTGTGTGTAAACTGCAGCCACTCCCATTATTGTGGGGAGTGGCTATAGAAGAATTGAGGTATTTTTTTTTTTAATGCCTCAGAAGGGGTCTATGGAAGCACATTTCCGCCAATGTGAGGAAAAAAAGGATTCTGTAAGTCATTTTTTTTTCCGTCACACTGGCGGAAATGGGCTTCCATACAAAGCAGAGTGAGCAAGACTGACTTCAGTAACCCTACTTTACTCGAGTTAAAATGCATAAAAACGTGAGAGAAAACGTGCAGTACCTGCGCCAACAACAAGCGTCTTGGCTCCACAGGTCTGAAAGCAGTGGAGCACAGATTTGGCTTTAATGTTGACGTTGAGAAAAGCGACTTCACAGCCCAGTTTACACAGCCCCAGCCACACACAAATAAAATCCGGTTCGTTGAACATCAACAGAGCCACAATGTCTCCCTGTTTCAGAGAACCCTCCGTCCGAAACGCGTTCGCAAACTGGTTACTTCTCTTGTCCACATCTTGGTATGTCAGAGTCTGCTTTTCGAAGATGATGAAGGGTTTGTTCGGGTTCCTCCTCGCCTGGTAGAGAAAACAGTCGAGGTATGTGATGATTCCTTGCTGCATACGAGCATGCAACGTCTTCCTGTACCCCCGAAGTTTCAAGTAATAAATCAAATCCAGCCAGAAGAAGGGATAAGCCACCCTCTGGTAGAGGAGAAGAGCCAGCAGTCCTGCTACAACGCTGGTAAACAGCAGAGTTATCATCTTTATGTGAAAACACCGCACACACACCTCACTGCCACACTGCTCCACAACTTCACTCCAAGATATCAGGCTGCAATCGCGCATGCCTTCAGGAAACCTGCATTCAAGCTGATAGTCTACTCATTATGCAATTTTACAGTGACAGCCAATGAGCTATAAGCACGGAGATGAACCGTTTGTAGATTCAGCAGGGCCGCAGCAAACTATTTGGGGGCCCTTAAAGTCCCCATCAAGGCAAAATGTGTGTTTTTATCACGTCTTGTGCAGGGTTGGGAGGGTAACTTTAAAAATGTAATCTGATACTTTTACTGAATGTAGTCAGTAACCCAATCCAAGTATCACAGTAGACCTATTAAAGTAATGTAACTTGTTTACTTTCCGTTAATGTTGGATTACCTCAACAGCAAATATGCAGTTAAAGATGAGAAAAGAACTAATAAGTGTTGCTATTTTATAAGACAGCAGACCAATGTAATCTTTAAAAGGAAAATTAAAAGATTTTTAGCATCAAAACTTTGTCCTCCGCTCAGTGCATTTTTAAAGAAACTGATGTATTTTAAAATTGTAATAAATAATAAATAAAAAAAAATAATCCCAATTTTTTACTAAATTTAACTGTAATATGACTACTTTGTGCTATTTGTTCTGTAATTGGAATGAATTACAGTTACCTTTTTTGTGTTCAGATTAAGTTACTCAGTTACAAGTAATCAATTACTCCCCAAGCCTGGTCTTGTGCTATATGTCACCCATCTATCTGGCCCAAAAAAGTCAGATTTTAGGTATTTTCGGGTATTCTTAATGGTAGGCTATTCATTTCCTGAAAAATTATAGAAAGTTGTTGATGACTCCTCCTGCACTCAGTGGAGTATTTTGAGTCCAATTACGCTTTTTTTTTCACTTATGATGCCATTTTCCCTCTGATGTCCTCGGCTTCAACTCTCTCAAGAATCTACTTGGCCTGAACAAAAACAACCAATCAGAGCCGAGAAAAATAGAAAGACACTTTGGGTTGGAGGCTTAAAGTTTATTGTGTCTCATTCCCAGGGTCCCAATGCGCCTGTATTTAACAATGTGGGAATGAGACTCAATAATCAACTATCTTTCTTGGCTCTGATTGGTTGCTTTCGTTCAGGCCTGGTGGATTCCAGCAAATAACATTACTGTGCCGCCCAGTGGCGGCTGGTGAAAAATAT